ACAGAGTTAAATTTTTTTAACATTTTCTAATGGTGGTGTGCCTTGTGATTTTTTTCATGAAAAAAGTGTGCCTTTGCACAAAAAAGGTTGAAAAATACTGCTGTAGACATACTTCCTGTAACTCGAGGGCAAATCTTGAGGGGTGTTTCCAAAACTAACAGATGGCTTCAGCTGAAAGCGAATTTCCTGACTTTCACTCATTGTTCAGGCCATTGTTTATTCTGAACCTGCGCAAATAAACTTTCCTTCTCTGAAGAGCTGGCTTGTGTGTCCCGTCTTTTCTACAATAAATCTGCCACTGTAAGAAATCATTATTAAGTACTGACAAATCTTGGTGCCCCCCCTCCTGTGTACATACTGTACAAATCTTCATTGTTTCTTTCTTCTTTCTCAACTTTGTGGTGTCCCCTTGGGTCTGCTACCCTAAACACATGCTTAGTCTGCTTAATGATTTCATACCTCCCTTAATCTTAGGCAAAAAACCTAAGAACTGTCCTTTCATTTCCAAATGTATTAAAAAAATCTTGTTCCATGCTGTTTCTCGGCTTAGATGCTAGTCCTTGAAATTATCTTTCTTACCTTTGGCTAAAGTTAACTTTCATCCCAGTGGTCTAGACTCTAGACCTATTCATTCTTATAAACCTTTCAAAAGATGTTGGCACACTTCACTCCCTAGGAGTCTTTTTGGAGAAGCTCTGCCTGTTACGCTTTACAAGCATTATAAGTATTTTTAGTAAACATATATATGGGGCATTGATTTTCAAATCTGATTTGCAGCCTCACAGTATGTGAAATCTTCTCACATACTTCATAGTTCTGCATTATCATAATTCTAAAATTTCCACTGGCTCTTAACTTTGGAGCATATGGATATGCATACTGCATATTACAGTTTTTTGGGGGTAGTTTAAAAACATCTCACTATTGCAGTGTATATGCTTATATAGGGATTGGTCCTAAATAGTGATGGGATTAAAAAAAATTACTACTGATTCTGTGGGTGTGGCTTGGTGGGTATGGCAGGGGAAGGTTCCTGCAAAATCCTCATTCCCACCCGATCAGCTGGGTCTCGGGAGGCAGAGAATAGATGAGGGCGGGGCCAGGCAAAGATGGTATTTACAGGTTTTTCGGACTACTCAGAATTTCCGCTACTGGTTCTCCAGAACTGGTCAGAACCTGCTGAATACCACCTCTTCTCCTAAAGCACATGCTCCCCTATTGCTCGGGGATGACATTCATCTATTCCATTTCAAAGAAATAACCATCTATCCTAAATTCAAGAATATAGTGTTTATTTCTTGCTTTTTCTCTCTGAACTGGACTTTGACATCCCTTTCCTTATTGCTCAACTTAATGCTTTAATTTATTCTATTTGTCTCAGCTTCATCGGAAGATTAGTGCTGATCTTGTGGATGATATCATATTTGTTATTATTACATGAATATTAGTACTACCGTATTGTATGCCTAGCTTTTACTCACAACTGTATATTTTAAAAAAACATGTATTCTATATAATGCTTTCTATTGTAAAGGCCATAATAAAGATTTGTGAATTCAAACCCCTATTCTGTTATATTACTGACATAAAATTAAGTGGAAATTCTTAGGAACATAAATTAGAGGGGGAAATGCAAAGTGTTTAAATGGTTTAGCAGAAGTTAAAACAACACTACAATCTTTTTTAATGGATTTTTTTTTTACAAAATACTTATTGTTATACTATCCTGTGTTTCAGTACTGTATGTTGCTTCAACCAAGTATTTGAAGCAATACCAGATCCTGGGCTTCCATGCTTTTCCTATCATCATCATTCCATTGATCTGTTCTCTGGTAACATTATAAGGTCAGATCTAGATGCTACCTAATCTATCTCTCCCTTTCCCTCTCCCTCCCTCCCTCCCTCCCTCCCTCCCTCTCTCTCTCTCATCTATCTCTCTATCTATATCTCTCTATCTATCATGTGTGTGTGATACTCTGGAATGTCTTGGCCGCTGAAATGAAAAGGACTGAATTATATCTATAGTGTCAAGTCCCACTGTACTTTTGACAGTGATAATAGCAATAGCAGTTACTTATATACCGCTTCATAGGGCTTTCAGCCCTTTCTAAGCGGTTTACAGAATCAGCATATCGCCCCCACAGTCTGGGTCCTCATTTCACCCACC